TAGAAACATGGCAGTTCAACATAGTGGAGTCAGAAATGTTTGCAGAGAATGTGACTTAGGCCTAAGCCCCTCTGGTTCTCATCCCTCACTATGAATCTGGATGCTCTGACACACACACAGTTTAAATCTTCTGCAGCAGCAAAAGCATGTATAGACACCAAGATAACACCTTTACTGATGCAAAACATAATATTGAAGATCGATCACCTGCTTCAGAGTGACAAAGACATTACATTTGCATGATAATTTTCACTATATTGCAAAACGTATGTGGGCACTTGAACATTATTACACCCATTTTTGATTTATGAGCATCTCATTCCCAAACCACGTGCATTCATTTGCTGCAGTAACAGCGTCCACTCTTTTTTAAAGTCTTTCTTAAAGATTTTGGCACCTGCAGGCTGCAGGGATTTCCTCCCATTGAGAACATCAGCGCTGTCTCACAGTCGATGTTCCAGTTCAACCCAAAGGTGGTGAAAAGGGTTGAGCTCGCTTTGATTAATTAGAAAAGGGCCTCCCCCAAACGTTTAACACAAAGTTAGAAGCACATTCTTATCTCATAATATGATGATTTCCAATCATATGCAGCCTTAAGATTTATCTTGATTAGAACACCCGGCATCCTAAGCATACGTTCACAACAACATGTAACAAGTACAATCCGGAAAGCTCAAACATCGCTGAAAATCTGTGGAATTACATCGTTTTTCACAGATGCCTTACATCCAGTTTGATCAATCTGCCCACTTCTGAAAGGTGAGAATGTGCAAACAGCCTCTATCTGTTGAGCTAATACAGATGTTTTCAGAAAGTAGCTTCCATAATGTATTGATTCGGAGCCGCGGCTTCAGCCAAAGACAGATTATTCTGCAGTTAATGGTTGTTTTAAGCTGGAGATTAACAATGGGTTACCATTTCCCGGTGTCAGTATGTACATATGAACCAGGACATACTAATGCACGAGTGTGAGCCATCTGGGAGGGGGCGTAGCAGGGGATTTGGAGGCTGAGAGGAAGAGGAAAAGGAAGAGGAAGGGGCATATAGGACAGATACTGAATTAAGGAAAGTTGTAAATAAGGTGGATGCTTTACAATCACTTAATTTGTGGCTGTCCACCCTTTAGTTAAGAGTGTTTTACACATCACAGCGTTCTTCAATAACACCTTTTGACCCTCATGTAGATGATTCTCACGTGGGTTGCTGCTATTCTCAGAGGACGCTCTGCGTCAATGTTGGACTCCCAGGTGAGCTGGATTCTCTTATCCTCTCGGGGTCATCCATCTGTCCACATGAAAAAGAAAATCCTCCTGACACTTCTGCTCGTTCCCTTCGACTATCATTTGTGACAAGCCCCTTGTTCAATAGTAAAACCATGTTTTTGCAGCATGTAAATGTGTATGAACAAGGCAGAGATGGTGCCTGAGTGTGCTGATCACCGTTATACTATATATAATTTATTTGTATTTTCAAATAAATGTTCTCAATACTAAAGACCGGAAATGAGAACGCTCTAATCCAGTGTGCTGTGCCGTGACGCTGTCATTGGTCTGCTGCTTCCAAGCCCTCTGGCGCACACACACACACAGACCATCCTCTTACTCTCTGTGATGCATCGGTCCCTTTCACTGTTAATCCAGCCGGGATGTGCCTCTGTGCATTGCTGTACTTTTGCAATCTGATGAATTCCCAACGGACGTCAGGACACATCACATTTTAAAGCATCAACTTTATACTCTCTGGATTTACAGTCAGTGGGAGCTTCACATCAGAGCCTCTGGTTCAGAGGTGGGACAAAAGTCCCAACCAGGAATGGCGACAATGCTGCTGCCCATCACTCTCTGCCTCAGTAAGGACCTTTCTTTAATTGTTGTCTGAGTGTGTGTATTTAAGTCTTCTGGAAAAAGTTTTTAAGTGCTGAGTTTGCTCTTGCTTGTCCCATTTTGTACTCTCTCATTGGTTGTGCAGTTTGTGTCTGTTGACTGTTTCTGATCTGTCTCAAACTGGACTAAGGTTCAGGTTGAATTTCAACAGGTTTGTCCGAAAAAAGTAGTTAAAATGGCTGTTGAGGGTATTTTATATCGCCTGTTCTGAAATTGAGGAGAGAAAGGTTTTACAAATGCACTTACCTTAATGAAATGCTTACTGTCCCCTCATGTTCTGATTGTCTCTCTCCTCCTGTGTGTGTGTGTGTGTGTGTGTGTGTGTGTGTGTGTATTTTGTGTACAACATCATGGGGGCATGAATTCTACTATCTAGAGTTTTGGGGTTTACTCTGCACAGACACAACATTTTTATGAAACACGATGAAATTAACATACATCTACATTTTCTAAAGAGAAACACAAAATGGTCTGCGGAGAGTAAAATCATGAATCATCATTCAGGTATAAATAGAGGAATATAACACCAACAAGTCTTTACAACAGCAGCCTTTAACAATGTGTATTCATACATGAATAATAAACTCGTCATGCAGGACAACCAGGACAGCAAAAGCTGAATCACAGCTGGACTTTGGCGTGACAGTCTCTCTCTGGGGCATAGATGGATAGATAGAAATAATTTGGGAAAATCACTTCTAAAAGTTAAAGATAAATACAGTAGATAAAATAAATGACTGACTAATATGTTAAATTATACAGTAATGAATATTTTGTGAGTAGATGGTTTTAAAGATGAAATTGACTCTTGGTTGGTGCTACTGGTTGCAAACGTTGGCTGAATGTTACTAGAAGACTGTGGACGCCCTTGTCCCGTTTAAATCAGGGGGCTATTGTTCATATTTTGAACTTGCTACAGTATACTGTGATATATTTGAAAATAGCGTTCTTCCAACTATGTGGCAACAGTCTGGGGAAGGCAAAGACAATGTAAAGTAAGCACAAGACAAACTGAAGGCTAGATGTGCACACTGTACTGTAGCGAACTCATAGCTCCAAATAAATGCCTGATTTCTGTAAATAGATTGGGCCTGAGATTCAACCCCTCAACCACATCCGACACCTGTAGAATGAACTGGAACCAGGTCTTATACCCAACATCAGTGTTGGACCTCATTGATGGCCAAATGGAACCAAGTACCTGCAGTCAGGATACAAAATCCGAGACTAATATCCGTGATTTTGGTGTCCACAACAAACTGTATTTGTCTCATGTACAGGAAGACAACACACCTCCACGCCTTTGTATGCTGCTCCGGTCAAATTATACTTTCACCAGAAGTCCTTTGCTCCAAATCAGTGTTTAAATATTCTAGTCAAACTCAAACCAATCTCAGAAGGATGTGTTATGTATGAGCTGATCAAAGCTCTCAAACAGCTGATAGCTTTGTAGTCCTACACTGAATTTGGCTTCGAGGATGTATAATCCCTCCAGATGAATGGAATACAACATATTTCTGTATTTGTTTGATCCGTCTAAGCACCGGATGGATCATGTCTCTGTAAACATAAACAATGTGTTTCACTCCACAAGATTTGATGTCTCTTTCTCTCTCTTTCATCCCCAATGTCCCCAAATACACATTCATTTATTTACACAAGTTTTGATAAAAAATATCTGAATGTAGTGTTCAGACTTTTCTCCTGTCGTTTCCTGTCCACCAGGTTTGATCCCTGTGTGTTTCGGAGCTGCGATTCCTGTTTCATGTGGGTCCATCTACAAGAGTTTTGCTCAGTGTTTACTCACACTTGGAGACAGTTTGGTGGAAACACAAAAAGACCAAAACACGCAGGACATTGACGCAATCTGCAGGTGTGTGTGTGTGTGTGTGTGTCTGCCAATCACTGTGGTAACCATCCAGTAACACCTTGTCTGTCTTGATACAGCTGGTCCCAAATTGTTAAAGTTATAATCCTTAAATCTGCTCTTATGAATAGTTGCATTAGCCCTGCTGGCGGCTCTAGGGATGTTGGGCGAGCACTTTGGTCCCAACTGCCATAAATTAACAACTATTGGATGGATTTACTCGGTTTTCAGAGGATGAATGCTTCTCGTTTTGGTGACACCCTGACTTTTGCTTTAGTGTCTTCTAGTAAAATAATTTCTTTTGACTAAACACCTTTCCCATCAGCTTCAGCTGTATTTTAGCATGCTAACACACTGATGGTGAATCTAAACATTATACCCACTAACATTATTCACAATAGATGTAATGTGTGCTCATAGAGAGAGAATTACGACCCAACTTTTCCTCTCAGACGTACAGGACAGTCAAATTACTCACTGTTTTTTGTTTATGGCCCGCAACTTTATTTGGTTCAGACTCTTGTGTCTCATCAGTGTTGTTTCCAGATGTAACAGGCAGAAAATATATTCTCTCTCACGACTTAAAAAAACATGATCTTCTTCTGTTTCATTAGTATCATGAGTAGCTGCAGCTTGTTTACTGCCTCTGAATGTGACTCTGGGACCAATATTATTACCTTCCGTTATCATCAGTAAACACGGGTGTTGTCAGATAAACAAGGGCTTAAAAGTTAAAGATTATATGTTTAAAGAGTAATTGAACACCAGGATGTAAAGACATTGTCACAAGAAACATTGTTTGTTTCTGTTAGGTTTGAAGTTTGAAGTGTTTGTTTGTTGCACCCGTAAGCACACCCATCTGTCATGTAATGGTTTCCTGCAGTTCCTGTACATCTCTGCAGAAACATGAATGGTTAAACCACAGGAGGTTGGCAAAAACATGATTTTTAGGAGTGTTAATTACTCTGCTCAGGTGTATTCACTGTATTAGTTTACTTTCCTACCTTCCTGGTAAATGATGCAGCCGTTACATTTCTATGTTCACTTAACGCTGATGTCTCGGTTCCTTGAAGGTCCTGGAACGCATTCCACGTTTGTGCCAATTCAGCTCTGGCCGGCTGTCCCGGAGAAGCAGCAGCTGTCTGGGAGTCTCTAAGACAAGAGTCCAGGAAGACACAGTTTTCTGGAAACCTGTACGACATGTGTGCCAGCCGCACCACCCTCCCGCCCAGCTCTGTGCCTGCACCCCAGAGCCCTCCCACCTCCGACCAGACCAACCAGGAAACACTGAAAGGGCAAACATACAAGCACAGCCCCACCCTCACCACACTGTTGTTCCCCTTATGCAGCACCCTGCTACTTCTGCTCAGGAGTTAGTTAACCCTCTAAGTCTTTTAATCAGAGTAATGACAGCTGGCCGTCAGAGTCCGGCCCCCCTTACAATCCTATCACATGAGGGTAAACACTCTTCAAGTCAAGCTCATCACGATACATATTGATCCTAAAATAAGGATTTCAACAACTGGATCAAAATGAAACATCTGGTTCAGTGTTTCTTATGTGGATGAGCTGGTGCATCTATTTATGCATTAAACTAAATTGGATTGTACAACAATTTCAAGTGTTTCATTTGTGATTAAATTCACATCATGTATTATTACACGGTCATACTTTTACAGACTGGAGTTAATGAAGGGACAGAAGAATAAGACCCTACAGTTATAAGCTAATATTTGTTGTAAACACTTTATTTTGTATCTCTACTGCAGTAACACCACGTGATTTTTAGGACAAAAGAGGTTTTAGGGGACGTTTTAACGCCAGGTGTTCAGATCTGCTAGTGATCCAATCAGGTGCGATTCAGAGGAGAGTGTTATTACAGGGTTTCACAACAGTGTGTTTGTGCTGTAAGTTTAATTCAACACCCTGTGACAGGTTTTATGTCAGAAAATTTGATTTCTGTATGAAAGCATTCTCTCTTTTTTTGTTTGTGCATGATGTTGCTACATTTTATCACTTGTTTTGAAACATTTAACGTCTGTAGTAGTTTTCTAAGCAGTTATATGATGCTTTTTCTATTCTGAACTACTATTTACAGTAAAATTTGACTTTAATCCATTGAATGACTTTATGCATCCTCTGTGTGGGACACATCGGACACATAGCACGAAAAATCAACAACACAAAATTACAGAGTACAAAAAAGTATAAAAGTGCAAAGTCAGTGGTGGGAAGTTTCCCACGTTTGATCCTTATAACATTAACAATTGCTGTGATTTTACTTAATGTTGTATAACTTTTCTTTGATATTGAGCGAGCTCTGATATGCAACCACACACTGTGTTTTATTCACTGGTTTTCACGTTAACAATGCATTTACTGTAATATCTTTTGATTTTTGGTTATTTGAATTATTATTTTTTCACAGCAGTATGGAGTAGTACTTTTTAACCCAACGAAACTTAAATTAAAGGTATATTGACATACACAATGCAGAGTTATTCTCCCTAAATTGCTACTATTACTTTTCTTGAAGTCATGGGCTTTTGTGTCGACTGTGTGTGTGTGTGTGTAATGTTAATGCTCTTACGCTGTTTCATAACAGCAGAATCATGAGTAGATTAATCTCATCTGTCTTTGTAGCAGGTTGCACCTTGAAACCCTTGACAACAGTCTTAGTGACCTCAAAGCAAGAAGGATAAATAAGTGAGTGATGGTTGGTTGGTTGTGTGGCGTGTTGTCAGAGGTGAAAAGTTAATGAATGCAGCACGTTGAATTTAACATCCTGCTTTATATTTTTCTTTTAGATTCATGCGTTACGCTGATTAAATATCAGGTCCCCACCGTGCAGCATCAGTAACTGCTATTTCAGCTTTAAGCGTCTACAGTTGACTGAGGTACCAAATCACATTTTGATCTGAAATCAACCAGACTGCAAGTCAAAAAGTCTCTTGTCTACTTTTTTACTTAAAATGCTCCATGTTTAAAAGCCAGATTATAACCCTGATTTGGCCATTTGGACTGATTTTCAACACTGTGGACAGTCTGCACAGAACATGGCAGGTCACCACATACAGAGAAGGTTAGCTTCAAATCTGACTGAGCCTCAGATTATGTTGACCAGGACTGATTTTATGTGTGAAATATGAACACATTTGAAGGTGTTACTGTAGTATAATATAAAAGCAGTGTCCCCTTGTACATTAACTGTATGTATTTTCATTCAGAAAGTACTTTTAAATTGTTTTTACAGTAGGTTCTTAAGATAATACGATAATTAAAGAGAACAAACTAATGAAGATAAGCCAGCTACTATTAGCCAGATGCCAGTCTGACTATCAGGCAAAATAATTATATATAAAAATAAAATAAAGTAAATTACAAAAGTATAGTTTTCATAAATGATTTCTGCATTAAAAAAATCGAATTGTAAAAACTCCACATATGTTCTTTAAATACTTTTTTTGATGGTCCATCACTTCAAAGTCCTTTTGTTATAAAATATAATGGTGATTTCTTTACTAAAACAGGACAACATGACTGGAGGATAAACTAAGTCTTTGAAATGTCCCCAGAACACCTTGCTGTGCCTGCTCGCTCTAATCTCTATTTGTCCAAATCTGCAACAGCACTATGAAATCTTTTTAAAGTGCTCCAAAGCCCTTGTATTCTGTGTCCAGCTGTTGAAATGTTTAAGATACAGCAAAAGAAAGATTCCTCGTGCCAGCTCAAAGTCAGTGAGATGCAGAACAACATTCATGGGATTTTGACCAATGCTCTATAACAGATGGTGTGTAGCATAAAACATGGCTGGGATTAAGACTTTCATAGTGGATTGTACTATCTCATCCATATGACCAGGATTTTAGTTTATCACATAGACAAAAGCTACAACCCTGTAAGCTGTACTGTACATCATATATGATTCTGTTAATACATGAAATAAACATGAAATAAATAAATTAAGAGTAAACAATTGTCTAATCTAATATCTCTGACGACAAGCCGCTGGTCAGCTGCAAGTCCGATAACTTTCTATTAAAGCTTCTATTTGGGAGTTTGTCCTCATCTGAATCAAGGGTGTAAGGGTCTATGTTATGATTGAAAACCAAATGTTCACTGACTGACTGAATGTTCAGTAACTGTTTCTATTTTTAATCAGAAGGCTGTTGAAATGCTTCCTACAGATAAATGATAGTCAGAGATACTGTACATTATATCAGTGGCCACACACCTGATATAAGTACAATGGAAGAGCTAAAACACACTGGTCCCACTCAACTGGTAACCTCTGTGGCAAATGAAGCCAACATAAACTAACAAGGTAAAGTAACAGGCTGGCTCCAGAAGTGAGTCGATCTCCATAAAGCCCCATTTTACAATACCCAATTTCACAGCAGAAATAAACATTTTACAGTCTGGTACAAAAAATGGTCTTTTCTCATTTCTGTACAGGGGGGTGAATTTTTTTTTTTTTAAGTCTTAAAGTTATACATGATTCAGGGCACAACTGCTTTAAGTGACAGGCGGCTGTTTCAGTAAGCAGGTTTCATTCAGCTTGCGTCAGCTCCACGTATTTGCCCATTTTTGGATTAGCCAGGAGCCAGCAGTGTCAGGACGGAGAGAGCTGGCCACGCTGCTTCACAGAGCTTCACAGTGGCTTTTCAGAAACCTATGGGTGACGTCACTAGACACTAGGGGCTAGGGGGTGCAGTCACCAGCCATTTTGTTCCCAATCCGACCCCTGGTTATGTGCTCGTGCCTTGTGTGTGTGTACCCTATCAGCTGTGTGTGTGTAGGTTGGGTGCCACATGCTTTTATTGAAAAAAGGAGAACCTACTTATAAAATAACTCATGTTAAAAGTCATGAGAGTGTACTATTTCTTAGCACCCCGGGTAGACTATTAGTGGCCCAGCAGCAGATTTTTACCCAGGAGACCCCCAGTTTAATCCAGCCATGCTGTCATTAATTTATATAATGTTTTTAACATGTTTATTAATTTATTTATGGAATGTGTGTAGGCCTACCATCTTATCTCAGACCCAGGCCTGCTATAAATATCAGAGACAGACTGACCTAAAAAAGAGAAAGAGAAAGAGAGAGGGGGAACACAAGCAAACATACTCACTGTAGTGACAAATGTGTCACCTCAGAGTGAAATGTTTAATAGTCAAATGTCCAATTAGACCATGTGAGTCGTGTGCGCCTGGGTGTGGGCTATATATTAGGGTACCACTCACCAGGTTTACTTCTAAAGACACTCAGAAGAACGAACAGAGCATCTGGACTACTTTGGAGAAGTTAGTTGCGTTGTGAAAACCCTTTTGTAGAAGCGTCTGTCTGTGTCCCGGTGCTGTGAGTCTCGGAGCTGGTCCAGGATCATGGAGGAACTGGCCCGAGAGAGCATCAGCCTGATGGCCCGGTCCGCGTCCCATGCGGACCCGCCGCGGCTCGGCTCGTTTGGCGCAGTGTTCATCATGCTGAAGTCCGCGCTTGGAGCCGGACTGCTCAACTTCCCCTGGGCTTTCCAGAAAGCGGGGGGAGTGAACACCGCCATCAGTGTGGAGCTGGTGAGGAAATCAAACACCTGCAAGTCTTACTCACTGTTGCTGTTTGTTTATGAAATGTGTTAAAGGGTTGTTGTGCATATAAAATGCCCTGCAGGAGTATATTCTTAATACTTTAATGGAACAGTTCATGAGGTTTTATTGATCTTTATCTTTAAATATGTTGCTGTTCGGGGGGGGGGCAGTTTGACAGTATGTATGTATAGACTCACCACCCCTCTGTCTCTCCCGGGTGTGAAAGAGGCACATCTTTTTCACAGGTGAGCTCTAATGAAGCTTCCAGTTTAGGTGAGGAGCTGAACTTTCAATGCACTGCATCTTCTGACTGCCACAAAAAATGTGTGTGACTGAGCGTGTGTGTGTATGGATGGGCTTTCCGAGAATGGACCCAGTGGCCCAAGAGGTCACAGGGATCCTAAGATGGAGCCATTGATTGATTGACGGTTTAATCACATATTTCTGCTCTGACAGGATACAGTTACATTCAGATCAAAACAAGAAAGGGAGCCGACATCTCGGAAAATATAACTTGCAATAGGCCCACAGGTTTCTTTTGGCCATCTGCTGTGACAGGAAACTTCAGAAATAATTAGTCAGTTAATCAATTAGTTGATTGTCAGAAAATGAATCATGAACTATTCTGATGATTGACTGAAGGACATTTTTTAAAAGCAAAAATGTAAAACATTTCCTGGTTCAAGCTATGAAATTGATGATAATTGCTTTGTGTTTTAGACTGTTGGATAGACAAAACAGACGAGGAGGAAATTTGTGATACACATTTTCTGTTACTGTTGTTGTTTTGATAAATTATTAATGAAAATAATAATTTGTAGCCCTAGAATTTTTTTTTATATTGCCTCTCTTTCTCTTCAGTGTGAAGTCCTGAATTGAGATGCAGTTTTTAACTAATACAGTCGACCTATAAAATATCACAGAAAAGGAGTGAGAGGATGAGGGGCCTTTTACGTGCCTGTGTACGGGGGGCTCTCTCTTATAATCCATGGTGTGTGTGTGTGTGTAAATTAAGGTTTGGTTGAAGTTCCCCTCTTGGCGTCCCTGCAGGTTTCACTGGTTTTCCTCATCAGTGGGTTGGTGATCCTCGGCTACGCCTCCTCAGTCAGCAGACAGACGACCTATCAGGACGTGGTGAGCGAGGTGTGTGGACGAGCTGTGGGTCAACTCTGTGAAGTCTGTTTCTGCTTCAACCTCTTCATGATATGTGTCGCCTTCCTGGTGGTGGTGCAGGACCAGCTGGAGAAATGTGAGTGATCAATTAAGTTATTTTACAATGTATTCATTATTACAGCAGACCACAGGCTCCTACATTTATTTTACCCTTTCTCTCTGCGAAGAAAGTATGAACATCAGTGTAATGATCAAACGCTTTCCTCTTCTTGTTGGACATGCTGAAAGATATATATTTCTGTGACTGACACATATTATTTGACAGATATATATACAGATGTAATCAACTAACATCATCAACAAAGGTCTTCATATGTGGCCCATCCAAGGCCTCAGTGCTTTAGATCAGTGGTTCTCAACCTGGGGTCCAGGAACCCCCAGGGGTCCTTGAGGGTGTTCCAGTTTCACTATTATTTCATTGACTAGAACCCACTGAGTGAATGTATAAGAATTACCATCCTGTCTATCCTACCATTCATAAGTTTCACACTCTTCACTTCTGAGACCACATCCTATAAAATACAGGTCCACGGCCTGATGTGTATCAATTTGGGGTTTCCTTGACAACAAAAAGGTTAAGAACCACTAGTTCAGGGGTTAAGACATTGAATAATAACAGCAATAACCAGGGTATAAATTCACTTCTTCTTGTTTGCTGTTATCTCTCTACTATCTAATAAAAAAATACAATTCTCAAACAAACAATTATCCCCCTTACAGGCAGATGTTGTCTTCCTTTGTGAGCTCCAACTAATCAGAAGGACCAGTTCAAAACACTGCGGCGCAAATCTGAATTATTTCTCAGTATTGAAGGTCCAGTGTGTAACATTTAGGAGGATCTATTGTCAGAAATGGAAAATAATATTCATACGGTATTCTTTCATTAGTGTATAATCCCCAGAATGTAAGAACAGTTATGTTTTTGTTATCTTAGAATTGCTGTTTTGATGTTGAACCGCCATGTTTTTACAGTAGCTCTGAAGGGACAAACACTGGCTCTAGATTGGGCCTTTTGTGTTTTTCTACACACTCCACAGCCAGTTCTTATTCCCAGATGTCAAATACAGACGTGAGCGGTGTTCAGTTAGATGCCACACAACCTTTAAACAGCTGTATTGAGAAGTCCAGAAGGAACCTAAAGGACTTGAAAAGCCTTAAAAAGCTTTTTACAAGTATTAAAAAGTCCCACATTTAATTAAAAAAGTCTTGCACATTTTCTTTTGCCTTTTGTTGGCTATAATGTAAATCATAGAATTTTTTTTATACTTGATGTGAGCTGTTGAAATACTAAAAATGTGATTCTTTTATCAGCGTATATACATAGATACATACATACAGCCTGTTCAGTTCCTTTTTATGGAGTTTAATATTTTCATTTAATAATGTGACCATTTTAGTTAACTTAACTCATTTAACTTAAATTAATCATTTTTTAACTGGTTAATCTCTCCATCCATTTTATGCTGCTACATGTCGCATTAGTTTGATTAATAATATCATTAGTAATTATTGTACCGGATGTGATATAATATCTGGGCCATATCGTCCCTGCTGGTTTTCCATCATACTTTGGATGACAGTGAGGTATTGAGAGTATTAAATTGAATTCTATGTTGTATTAATTTTTTTTTATAAACTAATATAATAATAACTCACCAATAATTTACTAATCTATATAATTGATCTATGAACTTATATGTTAGTGAAACATATTGTGTAATCTGACAGATTCCCATTATAAACAGACATTATAGTTTAGTTGGTTCTGGTTTAGCTGTTGATCGTCATGAGATATTGGTTTCTACCGTGTTTACATGTTGTTATGTTATCAAGGTACCCAACTGAGTTTGTGATCAATTTAGCAGCCATTTCCTATATCAAAAAATTAATCTCTTTCAGACCACAAATCATCTGCACTTTAATTTTCATCCTAGCGAGTATCAGGGTAAACAGACATTTTTTCCTTTGTCATTTTGTCCATCTGAAAACCCTCAAATCCCTTTAATGTTTTTGCTCTGTTCCAATTTTAAACAGAGCATCTGATTGGATTTACAAACACACTCTCCCCAACCCCCCTAAAAATATCAATTTGATCATAAATTCTTCGCAGAGCACTGTGCAGATGAAGCACTTTGTGAGATCTCCAAGGACGAAATAGCTTTAAACATATTCACAGGAATGTTTTAATTATTCTTCATGTGCATCCACCAACATCAAAGCATTTATCTTTCCATTAAAAATCATAAACCGCGTTGTTTAACAGACTCTTTTATAAATCTAGACTTATAAGATTCAATGAGTCTTGTTCTGTATTGTTGTATCCTGATTGACAGCGTTCATTTTGACTTGTTCTTCCTCAGTGTGTATTTCTTTATATGAGACGGTGACTGGGTCCAGTGAAGGAGAGATGCCGTATCACTGGTACACCGACCAGCGATTTGCCCTCTTCATCATGTGCCTTTTCATCATCCTACCCCTGTCCATCCCAAAAGAAATTGGCATCCAGAAATACACAAGGTATGTAGCACTCATCTGCAGTCAGAATCACATCCAGCTTTAATGGGATTTAACTGTTTTCTCCTTGTGTCAGTGTGTTGGGGACGCTGGCTGCTACATATCTGTGTGTGGCAGTGATTGTCAAATATTACCTGATGGACAGCCACCCTGCTATAATAACCCCAGAGCACAGCCAAGGGTCAGTAGTACTGTTTTTAATGGATGCATGTGTGTGTTTATCATTGGTTTCTCCCTTTATACATCCATTGTTGTGTGTGCATCAGTTAATGTTTGTGTGTCTTCTGTGTTTTTCAGTTTGAGTTCGTGGGCTTCAATGTTCAGTGTCGTGCCGACTATCTGCTTTGGCTTCCAGGTATCAACTTCAGACCAACATGAGGAAATAACTTTTATTTCAACTGTATAAAGTGCTTTTATCTGAAGGTCTTTACTAACCTCCCAGTATTCATGTTGTAATATGTCCAATAAATGCAAAGGCTTAACTTAGAAATGCAAAGCACAACTCACAAACCCAATGCAAAAGCAAGAAAAACAAACAAACGCTGGGTCTCAAACTGTAATTTAAATTTTTGCAAGTTAAAACCAACCCAAGTAAACACAACTCGAAGGCAACATTAGTGGAAGTCAGGGGCAGATCTGGAGGGGTGGGAAATGTCTGGCCACTCCAGTTTGGTGTCAAATGCTTATTAATTTATATGTATTTCTATTTGTTTATTTATTTATTTAAATATAATCTTAAAGGCAATTTAATTATCTTTTTTGGCCACATTTCAAACTAAGTGATTCAATTAAAAATGACATGTATTTGGAAAAATGTCTGAAGATTTAGAAATAAAACAATTTGTTGATTTTTAATATGACCTTTAAACATTTCTGTTCAATGTTTTACTAATGTGCTGCAATAATGTAATGTTTTTGAGTTCAAATATCTTCATGTGGGGGCTTAGTAAAAGTGATTGTTTGTGATGAAATCTGCGGATATTTCTCCCCTTAAAGTCTCTATACCACCCTTTAGGAAGTATCCAGCCCTTGTTTACATACACATGTTCATAGCATATACAGCCATAGCATAATTATTGATACTCTCAAACTATAAAAAAACTTCCATGACTCTGGATAACAAAGTATGAAATACAGAAGAAAAACAAAAAAGTAATTCCCCACAAACTGCTCTGTGTGTGTGTGTGTGTTTGCAGTGCCATGAAGCCTGTATAGCAATCTATAGCAGCATGGAGAACCAGAAGCTCTCCCACTGGGTGATCATCTCTGTGCTCTCCATGTTCTTCTGTTTACTCATCTACACTCTAACAGGTGAGTTCACATCTTAAGACCTCAGTGCATCATGTGCTCACCTGAAAGCCACAACACGTCCCCTCTCTCACTCTGCAGGTGTGTACGGCTTCATGACGTTCGGACGAGCAGTCGCCTCAGATATTTTGATGTCATATCCAGGAGACGATGTGGTCATGATCATTTCCAGACTACTTTTTGGAATATCAATTATCACCATCTATCCTATTATTCTTCTCCTGGGGAGGTAAGTGACAGCAGAGCTTGCTTTGTTTTGTGTGAGTTTATGTTTTAACCTCTAACGTGTTGTCTCTGTGTGTGTGTGTGTTGAACAGATCTGTCATCCTGAACTTGGTGCTGCGCATTCAAAGACGGCGTCGAGGAGTCGTCACTAGTTCGTTTGAGACTCGCTGCAGAGTCGTTCTCACTGTGATCTGGATCACCATCACTCTCCTCATTGCCATGTACGTCCCCGACATGGGTGAAGTCATCAGTGTCATCGGAGGAATAAGCGCCTTCTTCATCTTTATTTTTCCTGGTATGTAAACAACTTTAATATGTGTATCTATCTGTTTTATATTTATACACGATTGATTGATAGATATGAGTTGGACAAACCTGCATGGATGCTGCTACATAAATAAAGTTCATAGTTAATATAAAGCCGTGACTCACTAAGGTTGCACTGGCTATGTGGTGTCTGTGTGTGTGTGTGTTTTACAGGTCTTTGCTTAGTGTTCACAATGCAAACTGAATCTGTGACTCCAAGAGTCAGGTGAGTACAGACTTTTAAAAATTCCTTTTCTTATTTTCTAATAAACTTTCTGATAAAACTATGTCAGTGATATGAATTATAGGGAAAACAGGGACAGAGTTCAAGTGGTACACGTTCAGTTAATTAATTCAAATTGCTAATGTGACCAAAAGATTCTTTCACTTTACCACAGGACAGCTTCTTTCAAGGAAACTCATATTTTCCTTATAATTAGTACCAGTTGAAGTTTAAAATTAAAATTTAAAATTACAAACTGATATAGTGAACTGATCAGTGAGTTAAATCAAGTTAACAGAGGGGAGGGTTACATAAAGACCTGCTGATGGTCATACAGACATATATATATATATATATATATATCGAGGTCACATCCTGCCAATTAGCGATTACAAAAATCCACAAAGTCCTTTTAGAGTCTGGATTGCATTATCACACAAGAAGGAAAGAAAATGGAAGAGAGAAGGACTTTCAAGAAACAAATAAATGCATCAATGTGTTAATTCCAAGAGTAGATTTGATTCAACATGAGGATGTTTAAATAAAGGGAATTATGATGAGTGATTATTAATTACTGTTAAGCAGACAATTCATATTGTTGCCTGTTAACTTGATGTTGTCTTTGTCTTCATGTCTCTGATTTTCTTCTCTACAGGGTGGTTTTAACCATTTGGGGAGTCATAACTGTTGTAGTTGGAGCCTTCATCTTTGGACAGAGCACAACCATCGCTGTCATGGAGCTTTTCCAAAAATTTTGAAATTTCAGTCTGTGATCTCGACTCTCGCTGTGACTTCTGAGAGTTTGATGTAATTCACCTCTTTTGCACAACTGAAAGTTTGTAAAGGTGGTTTAAGTTGTATATATGAACCTCATCAACGTCCTCCATGACCTGGATATAAAACTATTTACTATGTGTAACAATAGTTTTGTTTGGGTACTTGGATTTTAATGGATTGTTAATGGATTGTTAATGGATAATTATATAATGCCAAAGAATAAAATGTCTAAACGTATTCTTAAGTATGTGCAGAAAATATTGTATGAATATATTTATCTGTTTTATTATTTAATTTAGTTTACTGACAATATATTAAATGTAAAATCACAAAGTATTCCTTCTTTGAGTCTTCATTTGTACTTGCAGACACTGCCAGGGGGCAGTGTTGCACTGCTGAAGCATTATTTATTTATCTGCATAGTCATATGAGTGTAACTGCATATTGGCAACACAGATAAAAAGAAACACTGTTCTAAATGTTGTTATTTAGGTCCCAGAGATCATTTTTACAGGAGAGTGCTGTGTTTAAATCACCTAAACAAGACAGAATTGATTTTTAAGGCAAACATGTATTGTGTGCCCTTGAAATACATGTTTACATCTACTAGATGACAATGTAAGTGACTAACAAAAATTTTTTTCTTTAAAGTACAGTATTCTTATCTTTCCTCCGCATTTTCCCTTTCTCTCTCTCCACTGACCTCCACATAGCCTGAATCATTTGAGTGATATAAATCTGCAGCTTTCATTGAGCACAGATTGATGGCCGAGGTATGCTGAATATCACTGTTTATTGTTTATTGACGTCAAGCTTAAAGGAGTTATGGCACAATGCCTGTGAGCGTGCACATGCTCACAAACGTGTATGAGTGAGTAATGATTTACACTAAATCCAGAAAATGGGTGCTGGTGGGATTTTCTTAAAAGGAACATCAGCCTAACTTCAAACACACACACACACA